ACTAATTTCTAACAGTTCCATCAAATTCTAAATAATTACATATTACCTACCTCCTCTCTTACTAATTACCTTGCCCTCCTTTTCCCTCCATTAGTTTCCCCTGTATAAACCCGTTCCGGAAATCCTGGTTCCTAGTCTCGGAATCAACGCGCTTCACTGGTCTGCTACGTCCTGCCACAACTAACTCTACTACTGGCTGCCCCGTCCCCCTTTTGCTCTATAGCTTGCGCGGCGCCCTGTCTCGTCGTTTTGTTGAAATGTAGCTTTGTTGGGAATAAATTGCTGGGACTCTTTGCTATCCTTCGCTGCTGCAGACAAAGACCACGTGAGGACCTAACACATCTACCAATCTGCTTTTTGGTATGGTTTAAATGTAATGTGCTTTTAAATAAAATTTGTTTTCTTTGAGCTCGTTTCCACCTGAAAATGAATCCCCACTCAAATTGCGACCCCTGTTTTTCTGAACAATTTTCGCCGCCTCAGTGTGCCATGCTTGTCAGCCGTGAAGTAAAATAGGAAACAAGAAAAGTACGAATTTACTTCTGATAAATCACTTTGTACGAAGTTTTTTTCTTGCAAAAGGCGGGCGATCGGGAGCGCGATTTGGGCGACTATTTGACGTGAGATGGAAAGGACAAAGCGATTTTCCTGTTATAGTTTTATGTTTTGCAGCTTTCCCTCTTATTATGCGTTTTGTGTTGTGTAACAGCATTACAAAACGCATATTGTCGCGGGGTTGTCTGTGTGTGTTTGTGTGTGTCCGCATCAACTTGTCCGCAACTTTCAACTAGGGAACCAGAAAAGCTAGGAAGCTGAAAATTTAGAGGAACGTTTCCCACCCAGTGTGACCTCGCAAAATTAAATGTGTTTTCCCCGTACCCGCGTGTAACGCGTATGACCTCGTGAAAGTTTTTTGCGGGTAAATTAATATCTCGGGAACCACGGGGTCCAGGAAGCTGAAATTTTAGGGCAATGACCAACTGCCCACGCTCAACCTTGCCCATTCAAATTCAGCGTTCCCGCGCCCTCGGTATCACTTACGGGCTGGTGGAAGTTTTTACGGGTTAATTATTATCTCGGGGACCATGAGGTTTAGGGAGTTGAAATTTTAAGGTAGTAACCCCTTGCCCACACTCAACCTTGCCTATTCAAATTCAGCTTTCCTGTGCTCTCGGACATCACCTATGGCCTCGTGAAAATTTTGACGAGTAAACTATTAACTCGGGAATCAAGGAAAGATATTCATCTTCAGTGTTTCGAATTCAGCTTTCATG